GAATAAAATGCTCCGCAGGGCGCAGCTTGATACGACCGCAGAGGTCGAACCCTGAACAGTTGGGGCAAGTATGGACACAACATTCAAGCTTGATACAGCTCTGAATTTGGATTGTGATTAAATATTTGACACAGCATAGGTTTCTGACACAGAATGAATGTGGTCTAAGAACTTAAAAATTTTAAATTGGACATTCACCTATTATGGTCCAATATCCAAAATCTAAATACATGGTTAGATTCAGCATATCAAAGAACCCCAAGAATTCAATTTTTGATGAAATCAAACAAAGTTTAATTTTGGACCCTTTTGACCTCAATGTGGACAAAGTTGATAACGGGGCCCAAAAATCAAAAATCTAAATACATGGTTAGATTCAGTATATCAAAGAACCCCATATATTCAATTTTTGTTGAAATCAAACAAAGTTTAATTTTGGACCCCGATTTGGACCAACTTGAAAACTGGGCCCATAATCAAAAATCTAAATACATGTTTAGATTCAGCATATCAAAGAACCCTAAAAATTCAATTTTTGTTAAAATCAAACTAAGTTTTATTTTGGACCCTTTGGACCTTAATGTAGACCAATTTGAAAACGGAACCAAAAATTAAGAATCTTAATACACGGTTAGATTCGGCATATCAAAGAACCCCAATAATTCAATTTTTGATGAAATCAAACAAAGTTAAATTTTGGACCCTTTGGACCTCAATGTGGACCAATTTAAAAATGGGGCCCAAAATCCAAAAACTTAATACACGGTTAGATTCAGCATATTAAAGAACCCCAAGAATTCAAGAATAAAACCCCATTGAAATTGATCAAGAAATAAGCAATTTATACGAAGTATCTTCTTTTGCACAATACTGTGCAATTGAATATTTCTTGCTATTGCGCAATACTGTACAATTGACAATTTCTTGCTATTGCGCAATATTGTGCTATTGGATATTTCTTGCTATTGCGCAATACTGTGCAATTGAAGATTTCTTGCTATTGCGCAATACTGTGCAATTGAAGATTTCTTGCTATTGTGCAATACTGTGCAATTGAAAATTTCTTGCTATTGCACAATACTTATGATATAATAATTTACACATCCTGTTTGGTGTGTATCTCCTACCATATCATTATTATTTGCTTTTAAATATTAATCAGAAATAACCAACTTAAAATGAAAAATTTTAAAAGAAAAAAAAAAGGAAAAAAAAAAAAAAAAGAAAAAAAAAAAATCCCCCCTCCCAAATTTTTTGAACCCCCTTATGATTCATCACCCCCAAACTCAATACCAGCCTTCCCTTTGTGGTATGGTACCTTGCAGTACAATTTCAGAGAGATCCATACACTTGAACACAAGTTATTGTCTGGAAACTAGAAAAATGCTTATTTTTGGCCCCTTTTTGGCCCCCAATTCCTAAACGTTTCAGGCAATTACCCCCAAACTCAATTCCAGCTTTCCCTTTGTGATATGGAACCTTGTAGTACAATTTCAGAAATATCCAAACACTTACACACAAGTTATTGTCATGAAACTAGAAAAATGCTTGTTTTTTGCCCCTTTTTTGGCCCCTAATTCCTAAAATTTTGAGGCAATTACCCCCAAAATCAATTACAGCCTTCCCTTTGTGATATGGAACCTTGTGGTACAATGTCACAGAGATCCATACACTTACACACAAGTTATTGTCTGGAAGTTACAAAAATGCTTATTTGTGGCCCCTTTTTGGCCCCTTATTCCTTAACTGTTGGTACCATAACCCCCAAAATCAATCCCAACCTTCCTTTCGTGGTATTAAACCTTATGGTAAAATTTCATGGAGATCCATTCACTTAAACTAAAGTTAGAGTGCGAAAACCAATGTGTCTTCGGACGACGCCAGACGACGACGACGACGACGACGACGCCAACGTCATACCAATATACGACCAAAAAATTTTTAATTTCTGGGTCGTATAAAAATTGCTGAATTTTTAGTTTCTGTTCTCTACTTAAGTTAGCCTCAACCAAATGTTATGAGACTTACACACAATGCTTAGTACCACAAAACTCAGATCAAGTTCAAATTTGGGTAGCGTCACTTTTACCGTTCTTCAGTTATGTCCCTTTATAACTATATGATATGCAAGCGGGGGCATCATCTGTGTCCACATGTGGACACTATCCACATTTATTTGCCCCTAATTCCTGAATGTTTGTGGCAATTACCCCCAAACTCAATCCCAGCCTTCCCTTTGTGATATGGAACCTTGTGGTACAATTTCAGAGAGATCCATACACTTACACACAAGTTATTGTCCGGAAACTACAAAAATGCTTGTTTTTGGCCCCTTATTCCTAAACTGTTGGTACCATAACCCCCAAAATCAATCCCAACCTTCCTTTTGTGGTATATTGAACCTTCTGGTAAAATTTCATAGAGATCCATTCACTTAAACTAAAGTTATTGTCCGGAAACCAAATGTGTCTTCTGACGATGACCATATGATAGCATTATACGAACGCAAAATTTTTTGCGGTCGTATAAAAACGTATAGAGAGCTTAAACCTCAAATTGTGTTACAACCTTCATTTCTTTGTATTTCGCTGTAAAAGTATTTGTTTTTATACAAAGAAAAATTGAAATTATTTTTTTTCCAATAAAGCAGGAATTCAAGCGTTTACGAATTTAAATAAATGATGAGTTGTCCTCTCAGAGAAACCATTTTCCAACGTGTCATCAAACTCCTGTTGAATGATGGATCTTAATTTGCGTTATACAGTTATGCATTATTTTCTATGACAAAACCAAGTTCTGCTTTTAGAACGAAAGCGGGTCGTACACATTGACAAAACCAGGTCCTTCAATTTTGACATGACCCATTTCTTCCGTTCCATGCATATTAATACAAATATTGAGGTGCTCAAAGTGACTAGTCTTGCAATCTCCATGTTGATATCTTTCTTTCCATACCTTTGTTACCATACAATGTGCACAATTTAACGAGAAATTAAACAAATTCGAGGCAAGGTTCACTCAATTCATCATTTTGACGTACCTTTTTACCTATTTCTCCATTGATCTAGAACTGTTGTAGAAAATATCACATCTCACAATCGAAAATAGTTATATGTGTATTTATATTCGTCCAGGGGTGTGGAAATGCTCAATCAGGTAATAGCAACGATACACTGGAAATGGTCATTATTAATTTCAAGCTCTGATTTCTCAAGAATGAAAACTAAATGATCGGTTGGATAAGCATCTTTAGATATGTCATTGCTCGGATGTTGACCAAGGGAAAAGAGGCACCTCATAAAATAAGCATTGTGTATAAGATTCATAACATTTGATTGAGGCAAACTAAAGTTAGAGAATAGAAACGAAAAATTCAGCAATTTTTCCATTTGTAAAGGGACATAACTCTAGAAAGGAAAAAAGTGACGCCACCAAAATTCAAACTTGATATGTGTTTTGTGGTAATTAGCATTGTGTATAAATTTCATAACATTTGGTTGAGGCAAACTAAAGTTAGAAAACGGAAACAAAAAATTTGTACTTGATCTTAGTTTTGTGGTAATGAATATTGTGTATAGGTTTCATAATGTTTGGTTGGGGCAAACTTAAGTTACAGAATGGAAACTAAAAATTTTGCAATCTTTCGATTTATAAAGGGGCATAACTCAATAATGGTTAAAGTGACACTACTCAAATTCAACTTGATCTGTGTTTTATCAGTAGAAGTCAAAATTAAACATTGCATCATATAAAGCATTGATTGTAGTTGATTCAACTATAAACATGGACAAAGGAAGATAACACCAATTTTAAAAATTACTTGATATTTAGAAGAAAGTTAAAGTGACGCCACCAAAATTCAAACTTGATCTGTGTTTTGTGGTAATAAGCATTGTGTATAAGTTTCATAACATTTTGAAACCAATTTCAGGACGTACGGATGTACGGACATATGTACAGACGGACAAGGGTAAACCTTAATGCCCACTCCGCTACGGTGGGGGCATAGAAATAAAACAGTTGGTTGAAGAACTTGGTTTAGACAAGAAACGGAAATCAATTCTAGCAATAAAGGACAAATAGCATGAAAATAAACAGAATAGAGGAATTTCAAGTTCTATAATATTTTGATTTCGCTTAGTTATCTAAAATAGTCTCAAATTTACAATTGGCCTACCAAGTGTTTTTTGGGGGAAAAGGGGCAGGGGGGTTTAAACAACAATTCAATAAATTATCAATTATTTGGTTTTCATCTCTTCATTAACTTTAAAACTTCACACAGGCTCACAGAAGAAAATATAAGTCATGATATAATCTCCCAGGTTCATGGAAGCTAGCATCGAAAAATAATTTGCAAAATTGGTCTCTAGATTCTTTAAAGTGGGTTTTTTGGTTGGTTTCTATCTCGTTGGTGTATACTCAACTTATATTTTTATCATTCTAACATACAAACAAAGACCATGAATGAGGGTTATAATGGGGTACCTGCATGACGAATAACGGTAAAAAAATCTTGCTAAATGGCGTTAATGGTGATTTTTGGTGCATGATGATAAAATGTACATTTCCTTTATGACGACATGGACAATAAAAAAATAAAATGATTTTGACAAATCATGTTAATTTTTTTCCAAAAATAACGGTAATGGATCATTATTTGAGACCTCTGACAAATCACGATAAGAATATTTTGACGAATCACGATAAAATTTTAACTAATTTGATGCTAACAATAGCCGAAAATGACCTTTTGACGCCTGAAGGTAGAGAGCATTCTTATCCTCATGAATACCATATTCATTGTGTTTATAAAAACTGTTTTAGAAACATACACGTCTACAGTAAAATACATCTTCATTCCAAAATTCATTAAGAAATCAGGGCAAGTAACTTTTCTTCTGGACAAGTAAAATTTATAATTTCACTTGCCCGGGGACAAGTGGTCAACACCCTTGTCGTCAATATCATAAAAATAAAAAATAAATAAACAGAACTCCTACCTTTTCTCTGTCTGTTGATGGTCTGTCACCGTACCGGATATTAGATACTATTGAGTCCAAACATTTTTTGCCAAAATGTGACAATATGATGGGCTTCAAAATATATATTTATATATTTACAAGTCTAAATTGAAAACAACGTTCAAACCTATGATTGCGTGGGATAAAAACCGCAATTTTTATACGTGTGCATGCAAAACAAATTTCTTGGTAGAGGGGTCTAAATACAGCACAAACAACATTTTCCAAAAGACCAAAAAAATGAAAAAGTATATTTTAACAAAACACATTTGACTAGCAGGTCGAACAACGGATGTTCTTAAACACTACTGACTGCCATTGGCGATAGCCAAATAAACGGATCACCAGATGTAACAAAATGGATCTCAATTATAAATTTAATACCAAACAGAAAACATAAACTTGCGGAAAAGATGGTATACCGCAAACATGAGGTGCAAAAATTTGTACACCATATCCCGATTTCGACAATTAATGTCTCTTCATTGATGTTAGGAATCGAAACGGTCTTTGGAAGGCCATATAATTTACCTCAATTTAGGATTGACTCTTAAATTTTGAAGAGTCGAAATAGGATGAACGGATTATATAAACCCGAAGGCAAATATAATACAAGCCCAAACGAAAAAATATAAACAAGTCTAAATTGAAAACAACGTTCAAACCTATAATTGCGTGGGATAAAAACCGCAATTTTTATACGTGTGCATGCAAAACAAATTTCTTGGTAGAGGGGTCTAAATACAGCACAAACAACATTTTCCAAAAGACCAAAAAAATGAAAAAGTATATTTTAACAAAACGCATTTGACTAGCAGGTCGAACAACGGATGTTCTTAAACACTACTGACTGCCATGGTGATTGCCAAATAAACGGATCACCAGATGTAACAAAATGGATCTTAATTATAAATTTAATACCAAACAGAAAACAATAAACTTGCGGAAAAGATGGTATAAACACAAACATGAGGTGCAAAAAATTTATATATATAATTATAGCAGGGTTTAAGAACATCAGTTGTTCGACCTGCTAGTCAAATGCGTTTTTTTAAAATATACTTTTTCACTCATTTGATCTTTTGGAAAATGTTGTTTGTGCTGTATTTAGACCCCTCTACCAAGAAATTTGTTTTGCATGCACACGTATAAAAATTGCGGTTTTTATCCAACATATAGGTTTGAACGTTGTTTTCAATTTAGACTTGTGTATATATATTTATATATTCTTAATATGTTTAATAAAATTCATTGAATAAAATAACACAGGGATATATCTATCAAGAAAATTATACAAATAAGTTTTAGACAGTGATTGTTTTAATTCAAGGTTAAAATTACATGTAAATATAAGTACATGTACACATGTAGGCCATATGCTGACATGTTATAATAACAATTAATTAATGAACTGGACATACGCAAGATTCACTACTATAAATTGTCCAGATTGGTAAAAACATGTCAATTAAAGTCAGCTTGATAGATATTCATCTGTGTATCTTTAGAATAAAAACTATTATTGCCAAAGTAATAGAAATTTTGATAAACTGTTATATTCAAATGAAATTGTATATAAACTATTGCATGCACTGTTGAAAAAAGACCGTCCGTTATGGACACACCGTTCTAGACCGGCCGAATAAAGTGTTGTTTACAACTACCTTCTGTTTTGTCACAGAGACACAGTGTACTTTAAACATGTTAAATTGATAGACTTATTGCGAAAAAAATTATCAGACATATGGTCAGATCATATGTTTTCGTACGTCATATGAATTCGTACTATGCATGCTTTTTCAATGGATATTGTGACGTCACAATGCATTCTTAATAACACGAAAACCCTTAATACGTGGATAATTTAGTTTATACTTTCGTTTTCAAACCACCTCTCGGTGAAAATAAAAATTAATACTGTTAAATTAGTTGTCTGGGCTCCTTGAATTTGGTAATAATTTCCATGTTTCTTGTTGACAAAACAATTACAGGGTTTTGAATTGAATTTCGTACCTTGAAGAAGTCAGAGAACTTACTGCGAATATGTACTTTCGTTTTCAAGTCACTTATCCAGTAAAGTGTAAATTTATCCCGGGTGAAAGTAACACTGTTAAAATAAAAAAAAATGTGAACAATTCAATTCTAATAATATTGAAAATGAAGAGGATATCATATCTCTTATTTTGTTTCTTTGATAATATTTTTTAAATTATCTAAGGTTTGATTCATACTTGAAATGATTTTAAATCCATACCATACATCAACATATCAACACTTCAATATGCTATAAACTGAAAGAAAAAAGAGGAAACGTGGGTACCCCTATGGAATTTTTATGTGTGTATTTTTATATTTTTCTTCAAAATATACATGTCAGGGGGAAATTATCCCATCATTGAAATAATGACAACATTTGGTCTGAACTGTTGAGTTCAAAATGTATGGGAATTGAAATTACATGGGTGTATTAATTATAAAGTGTCAGTCAACTACAGTCATGACACTTTTGACAGTATTACTGTCATGCTAACTTGTACAAGTAAGTCAAGCTTACTGAATACTCATATAGATATGAATGGTGTTTGACTATGCAGAAAAACTATTGATCTTTGAATTGATCCCTTTCACAATACAATTTATCTTCCAACTGATGTTTTTTTTCCAGAAAAATTTGATGTCACAATGTCCTATGATGAGTTTTCCCTCCAAATGACCCCAGGTCAATCGGGCAGTTCATTCATAAATCGAAATTGGAATCTTGTGTTTTTAGACTCGCAATATGTTGACATCTTATTTAAAAAAAGGTTTATCAGAAGGAATTGACAAAGGTTTCATGTTGTTCCGACTCTAGGTTGATTAGCCCAAATCTATCCATCCCAAGTCAATCTGGCCCATTACATATTTAGAGTCGATTTGGCCCCTATATGAAAAATACTTACAAGTGATAAAAGTAGTATTAATTGATTTTTAGAAAATACAGGTTAAAGAATATTATGAATATACATGTGATACAATGGAATAATAGTGTAACGTGTACACAGGGTAAGCGTGTCTATTTTTATTATAGAATAGGTTTGTTACCAGTTTGATACTGGATCCGAAATATACTATTTACAAAGTATATGAATTATTCACCAAATAATTTATATCCATCAAATTATGTCAATGAACTAAAACTAAAATATATACAACTGCTCTTGCTTTAACATGTTTAACAGTTAAATTTAATTATACATTAATCATTCCACTTTGAAATATATACAAATGACACAAATTTGTACAACATGTACAAATACCGATTTGTCCTTGGTCATGGACAAACTTCTAACATGCCTAATGGTACAATTTAGTACCCTACAAGCTACGACTTGTCCTAATGGTACATTTTGGTACCATACAAGCTACGACTTGTCTTATACGGTAAAATTTATACTTGACAAACTACAACTTGTACAAGTCATAAAGGACAGGTACCAACCTTGTCCTTTGTTGCATTACAATCATGAATACAATTCCATATTAGAGAATACAATCTAATCACATACCGTACGTATCATGGCCATCGTCTTCGTAGACTTCAGACGAATAACATAGAGCAAGGAATCGTGCCTGCTTATATACCACAATGGTAGCCGTACCATTCTTGAAGGAGGGGTGTTCTTTCCTAAGTGCCTCAAAAAGCCCTCATTACTCGCATTAGAGATTCCTTTGGAACACCCCTTCACATTCAGTTTACCCGCCAAATATCTTATTCATTTCTAATACATAAAATAAGGCTGCTGCTGTTGAACTGTATCTAAGGTAAACTATCTAACCTAAGTCTAAGATACAAAATCATCACAATATGTTAATGGTAGGCGATAAAAAATTATTGCAATATATGTACTATGTACATGTAGATGTGCATAGCCTTCAGAAATTGTTATCAGTTGAATTTTGCAGGAGTTATGAGTCTTTGTAATCTGGTGAGATTTTGTTTGCCAAGTGACAATGTGGGGACATGGGGTATGTGAGCCTTCTCACAAAGGTTCTTTAATCATATATCAAATATTGATTTGAGACATTATAGGTTAGTAAGAAATATTTCTATGATATTTTCTATCAGCTATTCAGAAGTTCATCTTTTATTTATTGTCATGATGTGAAAGAAACCAAATGATTATAAAAATAGTGCTATGGTTCCTCTTCAGAATTATGTCAATATGGTCAAATTATAACGGTATTCTCTTTGCAACTAGTATTTAGTTAAGAATTATTAAGCCTTAAGTCAAAATGAAGGTGCTTCCCTTTTAGAATTTGATTTAGTCATTATCATACCTGGTATCCCAATCCCAAAATGCAGAGGGATCTGAATCTCGAGGTAAGTAGAATTTGGATCCAATTCCCATGCAGGAATTATGCTTGGTGGGAATCTAATCCAGATTTTACCTACCCACCGCTACAAACTTTTCATTAATCATGTTAATTGCTCCTTAGGATTTGGATCCCTCAGTGGATTTCAGATTGGGATAGCCTGTGTGTTAAACAGATGAATAATTCAGAAAGGAATCTTTGACAGTCAATATGTCAGTGACATTCATTTAAATTTTGATTCGTTGATCCCACCAAATTTTATTAAAATCTTATTCATGAAATTGGACCCCTACACATATTCCAATATTCATGATACAGCAGCCCTTGAATGGCATCCATTTTAGACATAATTTAATACGCCTACCTAGTGTCCTTATAATATTCCATTCTGATATTGACAGATGAAAAAGACTGAAGTAAAAAAAATTTTTTTGACCTATATTAGTACCAGGAAACACATGATAAAACAGATATTTGTACAGTCCTTTGTTTGACCATCTAAAACTAGGTCAGATGATGTACAATGTCCATTAGCATATCATTCAAAATGGAAGAACTCTTTTTATACAATTAAGATTCTTTATTACAGGTTAAGCTTCAACAATGGGTTGAGTTATATGCAGCATGCCTATCCAGAGAGAGGTTATCGTAGCCATTGGTGTTGGTGCTGCCACCTGTGGTTGTTACTTCATATATAAACAAATAACCAGACATTATTCATTGGTTGAACCAGGAGGTAAGAAGACAACATGTACAATGTTTAGATAAATATACAAACTCCAAGGTAAAAATAAATCTAGATAGGGGCCTCCAACACGGTAATAATAATTGTGTCAATCAAAACATATCTATTGAGCTAGTATTTCTTGGTAGGGGTTTTAACATCACCAACTGCTGTAGCCTACATGTATACTAAGGGTAATGTTTTGACAGTATTCTTGAATACTTATGGGTTTGATTGCAGAAATATAATTGCTATTATTTAAAAAACAGAAATTTCTGTTATTACATTTTGTCTCCCACTCCCAGGTATTTTAAAATGATTGAACTGACATCATCTCTTTGATTCTGCTGTGTTGACTAAATCAAATAGTTCGATTGGAAACATTCATAATGTTGAATTATTGCTTAAAAAAAATGGTGATTTTCCAAACTCATAAAATGAAAATGAGATATAACAAATTGAACTGAGAGCTCTTGCTCACTAATGATATCCTTGCTATAAAGATTCAATTCTAAGCAGAAAGCTGATGAATAATTAATAGATGTGGAAATGCATTTCACAGTATAGCATGCTCACACGAAGCCAGTAACCTTTTTAGGGTGCTGGATCTGATTTGTAGACAATCGTAGATTCTGAGAAAAATGCAACAAAAATTTTGTACATGGTCATTCCGTGTAAGAAAATATGACATGTATGAGAATTTCGATAAAGAAGAATATAATGAGTGATGAATCTGATAAAGCATCACAATGATCACGCTGTAGAGCATACTCACATGAAGCCTCATACCAAATTTCAGAAAATTCTAATTCATAGTTCCTGAAAATAATGCTACGAAAATTAAATAAAAATACGGAGATGTGGTCTAATTGCAAATGATACACCTTATCCTGCATAGTCCAAATGATGCTGATGTTAGCAACTTTAGGTCACAGTGTATGGCTATTTCGTGTAAGAATGTATACAAGTATTTTGGTAAGCAGGAAGTTGATGAGGGATGAATGTGAAAACTCTTTACACAGTATAATTTACATGAAGCAAGAAACCAAACTTCAGGAAGCTCATCCTGAATTATAGTTCCTGGAAAAATGTGATAGAAATTTCATGGGACAGACAAAAGACAAACAGGGGTAAAACAATATACATGCTCACTTCTTCAGAACAGGGGTATGGTGACTGAAAATTGATTGACTGATATACTTTTTTTAAAATCTTATTCATGAAATTGGACCCCTACATATTCCAATATTCATGATACAGCAGCCCTTGAATGGCATCCATTTTAGACATAATTTAATTACGCCTACCCAGTGTCCTTATAATATTCCATTCTGATATTGACAGATGAAAAAGACTGAAGTAAAAAAAAATTTTTTGACCTATATTAGTACCAGGAAATACATGATAAAACAGATATTTGTACAGTCCTTTGTTTGACCATCTAAAACTAGGTCAGATGATGTACAATGTTCATTAGCATATCATTCAAAATGGAAGAAAAAACAGGCATTAGAACTGAGGACAGGGGACTCTTGATTTATTTATATTAATATATAAATGGATTGTTTTGCTTTTTACTTGTAAATGTTTTATGGGATATGTTTTCCTATGGTTTTGTTTTTGTATTTGTGTGTATGTTTTCATTCATATAATGTTTATATGTTATATTTGTGTATGTTACTGTCACACATCTTATAATTTATATGGCAATAAAATTATAGTTATAGATATAAATTAAACATGAAACCAAGTAAAGCAACAATTGGCTGAAAGTTCTATTGATGTAGCATGCTTAAAATATCATGTTTGAATTAAATGAGAATTATCATTTTTGTTGTGGGGTATATTTGAAGCATGAATCAGTTGAAAAAAGAAAATTTTGAATACTACATTACCATAAAGTTTATATAACTTTCATTTTAGACATACACTATTTAAAGTAAGGTTTCCATTTAAATAGCATAAACAGTAGAAAACTAGTTTTTTTTTATTGAATAATGCAGGTTATCATGGTTATAGAATTATAAAGAATTACAAACTTTTTTGAAGGAGTGAAAAGATTATTATACTTAAGTCATGTCAGTTAATCACAATCAGTGTGTAAAGTACATTATCAATTCAATTCAAATGTTTATTGCTATACACACTTTAAACAATAAGTTTGTGACAAATACAAAATAAGTATACAGTATATGAAATTCACACAATCATTTAATAACAGTAAATAGTCCTGAGTCCGCTGTCCTCAGTTCTAATGACTTTTTAATGTAGGACCCCAATTTATTTACATTCAATGGTGTCAGTATCAAAATAAAAATTCAAAGGGAAAATATGTTATTTATAATTTCCAGATATTAAAGTACGCAATCATATATTACACAGTTACTAAAAATAGTGCTCCAAAAATAAATAAAATGAAACACCTGTGATATTTTAATTTATTTGGTATTTCCTTTAATGGAAAGGTGAAGGTAAAAAAAAACCATAACATTGAAACTTGGATATTCCATATATCAATTGTGGACATTGGTATTGGTATGGTTGTAACAGATTGCAATATATTTCAGGTAGGGTTAAATTCTTGTAACTTATTTTTGGTTGCTGACAGGTTTTCTAATACCAAATGTTCAGGATACCCCTGTTTTTAAGTGTCTATTTAAGGCAATGTTTGAAGAATGTGAAACAACAAAATAATTCTGCTCTAGAAATAATCAAGCCAAATACAACATATATAAAAACAAGCAAAGCAACACAAATTTATTTGTTGTAATCATTTATTGTTATAAATGTACCCCCAGAAGGTAAACTTTGTCTTTATCTTTAAGTTAACAATTTTAAAATATTTTTAGTGCTTTGTAAATAACAGGTAAGAACTATTTTTAAAAAGACAATAGTTATAATTTTATGTCAGTTGAAATTTATATCTTTTTTTAAATTTTATACTTGTCTAACTTAAAATTTAAATAACAATTATATCAGTGAGATCTGAAAATATGATTGTCAGAAAAATTAATTAAATATTAATCAATTGTACATTAAGCATTTGTTAAGGGGTATGATAATTAGACATTTTATAATTGACAAATAACAAGCAGTCACAGGTAATACTTATACTGGGTACATATCATGTTTATTTACTTAAAGATGTAAGTAATATTTACCTGTATAAGTAAATTTGTAAGATTTTTATTATCTTTTCAAGCTAGGCTTGAATAATCTCCCTTTAATCTTCCCCAAAAGTTTACTCATAGAAGTACTGGTAATATTTTTTTACAACCCCTTTAATTCTGAAGTTTTGCCGAGGGAGGTCAAAACATGCCTAAGCAATATTTTTCTGGTTTGCTTATGATGTTTTAATTTGAGTTCAACCTTTTATCTGAAGAACTAATGGGCACAGATGTTAAGTATCTGTGCAAGTCATTCAAAAACTGCTCCCTGGAGCATGTGGAGGCTTGGAAATAAGCAGTATTTTGAAAACAAAGGAGATTTAATCATTGTCCATGAAATAGTACTTTTATAAATAGTATATTTACATGATATAGACAACAACTAATGACATACAATTAAACACTCTATTAGAGCAATGTAGTAAGGAGAAATTCAAGAAAAAAATTAAATAAGACTTTTTTACTTATATAATTTTTTTTTTAAATCTGAATATGTAAGGGATATAACTCTTCCCCCAAGATAATTTCCAGTAACCAGTAAATAAAAAAGGTTAAAACACTTGTATAAGAATTACCCCTGACTGACAAGACAGTTATTAATTCATTAAACTATTTTCAATTGAAGCATTAATGTATTTATAGGTACTGAAAATGATGCATCTGGATCAGCAGATTTCTTTGAAAGTGCAGAGATAAAAGAACAGGAAGGTAACACATCAGAGCAGAGGACATTTCATAGATCTGAAGGTCATTTGAGTGATCACCATCCTGTTAACAGTGGATCAGATACTGAACAAGGAACCAGTTATGGTACATCAGGAGAAGATAACTGTATAAACTGTAATGCTTCTCAGAGTAATAAACCTGAAGACGATGGATACCTAATCTCACGGCAGACTGTCCTCAAGAAAGCAAATGATTTAGGGGACAATCATGTCAATTCACACCATGAATCATTACAGGATAACCATTTGACAAACACATCAAATTTAAGGCAGCTTTTAGACAATAGTAAATTGGATTCTTGTTCAGCTAATCCAACTCCTCAGAAATATGCATCTTTAAACTGTAAGTTATAGAAAGTAATGTTGATGAATTTCTCCATCATACTCATAATGCTACACAATTTTGAGGGCACGAAAAAGCATGTAAACAAACAAATGTAAATTCTTTCTTATTAGATTAGTTATAGACACCATGAATTTTTGCATTTATTTGTTTTCCAAATATTTCTTCAGTTCTGATCATGCTGATAGAAATCCTACAAAGCCAGTGGAAAATTTTTATTGTAGGATACTTGTGAAAAGGGTAAATAATCTTAACAGCTCCTTTGATGGAATGCAAGAACACAAGTATTATGTAATATTTTATTTGTTATCCAGCTACTTTGATGGAATGCAAGAACACAAGTATAATGTAATATTTTATTTGTTATCCTCATTTTGCCATTGTTCTTGAAGTCTAAGCAACAACTTTATAGGCCCCCCTCATAGATAGTTGGAATCACTGGTTTCCTCTTGTCTGTATGTTCCTCCTTTCACCCAGACAATAGTCATGCAAACACATCAAGTCCTCTATTTTTAATGGATCTATTGAACTGTGATTAATTCCTTTTCTGTCTTGTAAAAGATTCATATTAGTAATTTTGTGAAGGCATGTAATCATTAACTATTTGTTAGAACAAGTTAATTTTTCGTCTTACCTCAGTTAGAAGATTAAGCCTGCTGTTTCAGGCAGCTTTAGTTGCAACAACAATTCTTTTTGATTTGGTCATTTTATGGTAAGCAATAAGATTCAATTTGCAGATGGTTGTATTAGCACTGACAATTCTCATTTTCTTGGAGATTTTTTGGCCCTGTCCCGTTTGTCATGGTCCATTGAATTTGAAACTTTTTCATACATGTTGTTAACATGTTACAGTTATGCCATAAAAATTTCAACATTTGCATTGGTTGAGCAACTTTTGTGATAGTTGAAGCCCTTGTCGACTGAAATTTGGTTGAAAATATCTGTTTTCTGCAATTTTAGCTCACCTGGCCCAATGGGCCAAGTGAGCTTTTCTCATCACTTGGCGTCTGTCGTCTGTCGTCCTTGTCCGTTAACTTTTACAAAAATCTTCTCCTCTGAAACTACTGGGCCAAATTTAACCAAACTTGGCCACAATCATTATTGGGGTATCTAGTTTTAAAATATCCCCGATGACCCAGCCCGCCAACCAACATGGCAGACATGGCTAAAAATAGAGCATAGGGGTAAAATGTTTTGTCTATTATTTTTTGAACCGTTTTAAATACAGAAAATCTGAGCAAAAATGTTCAGCATAATGAGCTCTACCAATTGTCCATATACGTCAGAACTGTAAGACGAATTCTTATAGGAGTTATTGCCCATAAATGACAAATTTTACCATTTTTTTTTCATTTTTGCCTATTATCTTGAAAACTATGATATTTAGAGAGAAACATTTTTTTTCTGTTATGCCTTATATGATTTAAATTATAATAGATAAATAAACACTTTAAATCACAAAAATGATCAGCAAGGCAAGATCTATTAAAAAGTCAAATTTCGCCGATATTGTTAGTAGATCTAGACTGTCACTATTCATAGGAGTGATTGCCCTTAATTGAGAATTTTTTTACCCTCTTTTGTGTTTTGAGCAAAAACTAAAGAAGATAGAGAGAAACTAAATAGACTGAAAGATCAGTAGTACAAGATCAACAAAATAGAGATTTTTGTCATGAAGTCTATTCTTGTCTACAATGTTGGAGAGTGTCTGTCCTTTGTTTGATATGCACATAGACCAAGGTGAGCTACACAGGCTCTTTAGAGCCTCTAATTTCTGGAATCTCTGAAATGATTTATAAGATATTTATTAGAAGAAGAAAAATATTAACTTGGAGATTAATTCTTGTTAGGAGATTTTTGCAAATTTGTGGCTTTTGAATAGTGCAAATTGGCTGAAAATATCATTTTCAGCACTTTTTCTGTAATGCAATGATTCATTTGATTAGCTGTTTGGTATGCATTCATATCTTAAGAATCTATAATTAGTTAAAGTTTAAATTGATTGATTATTGCAGAAGTTATGGCCATACACCATTTTTTTTTTACTCTTCATGCACAATATTCTAAAGAAAATTACCTGAAATATCAGTTTTTCACGTCTCTCCCAACAAAATGCTTCTCCCATTTACAGTGATTTTGCCAGTGCCTGTCATTTTCGGTATTTACGAAATAATTTTCAAAAAATCAAAAGTATTTCTGATCAATTTCAACACTTCAATTTGTGAAAGTAAAAAAATTCAGTGTGCAAAATTTTACCTAGTGACAAGTTAACGACCCCATCATCATTTTTTTCCTATCTTACAAAGGTGACTAAAGCCCTCAAAATCCTGCCTTAAATCCGGGACAAAATGTAAGTATAAACGTGTCCAATGTTTCTGCTGGTTGGAATTTGCATACAATAACCTCAGAATTACTGTCCATGTTCTAACACAATCCCTGAATATTTAGCAAACAATTTCAGTTCTCCATCTAACTGCATTTCCTTTGACATTAGAAAGGAATGTATGATTATGAAAAATAAGCACATAGTTATATCTATATAGATACATATATTTTACAGTTGAAAAATCCATGATGCCATGTAATGATAAAGATCTGGAGAAGGAGAAAGAATTTGATGGACAGAAGCCAGATGTGACTGACATTCAAAGTGTGCAGATGGAAGGAAATGCCAACCAGAATCAGAAATGGCCAGCATTGCAATTAAATCAACCAGATTTAACTGTAGACAGTGGTAATGTTCATATTTTGTATGCTTTTCTGTATTTGTAAAGTTATGGTGTATTTATTCTTGAGATATTCCTTTGCTTATTGTGTGCTTTTTTGCTGTGCATGTACTGATTTTGTGTCATGGATGGATACCCCATATCCTTTGTTTTTCTATTAAATTGTCCTTCAACTTTGTTTTTCTATTAAATTGTCCTTCAACAATGTTAAACAAACTGTATAGCCACTAGTCAATTGTTTAGATCTGCATTTTGACCTTTAAAATCTAGATGTCTTGGTTTTTGTGATTGGGTTGGTGTCTCATTATCATGTAACTCCCCACATCTTTTTAGTCATATTATTTATTATATCATGCCATTATATTTATCATCTCTTTAGTAATATTAATGTAAACTCACAATAATTAGGTGATTTGTTTGCTATCACCCAACTAATTATTGTGAGCCAGCAATTTATTTATGCGAATTTCTTGAGAAGAAAATTAATTCAAATTTTTATCATTGTGAATATGTCAAACTCACACAAAGTTAGAAAATTGAGAAAATAAAAAGTAGTAAGGGTACGTAGACAAGAAAGGATTAAAGGCAAAAATAGTATCTCCTTAAAAAGATAACTTAGTTTTCAGTATTCGTGAATTTAATACAGCTTATATGATTTCTTGTTGAAGGTTAATTTTACCACATTTAAGCCATTGTAATTCGATTGAAAATGAAAAATAATAATTGTTCTGTATTTCAGAAACACATGGCCCACCCGAGAGAAGTTTTCCTGAGACAATGCTTGATGACTCTCCAACGACCACATCAACACCTGGTAAGTACAATATATATTGTAAATCTATATGGCACTATTTGATAGAACAAGTTAATTTTTCGTCTTACCTCAGTTAGAAGATTAAGCCTGCTGTTTCAGGCAGCTTTAGTTGCAACAACAATTCTTTTTGATATGGTCATTTTATGGTAAGCAATAAGATTCAATTTGCAGATGGTTGTATTAGCACTGACAATTCTCATTTTCTTGGAGATTTTTTGGTCTGTCCCGTTTGTCATGGTCCATTGAATTTGAAACTTTTTCATACATGTTGTTAACATGTTACAGTTATGCCATAAAAATTTCAACATTTGCATTGGTTGAGCAACTTTTGTGATAGTTGAAGCCCTTGTCGATTGAAATTTGGTTGAAAATATCTGTTTTCTGCAATTTTAGCTCACCTGGCCCAATGGGCCAAGTGAGCTTTTCTCATCACTTGGCGTCTGTCGTCTGTCGTCCTTGTCCGTTAACTTTTACAAAAATCTTCTCCTCTGAAACTACTGGGCCAAATTTAACCAAACTTGGCCACAATCATTATTGGGATATCTAGTTTTAAAATGTGCCCGATGACCCAGCCCGCCAACCAATATGGCAGACATGGCTAAAAATAGAACATAGGGGTAAAATGCAAGTTTTGTCTATTATTTTTGAACCGTTCTAAATAGAGAAAATATTAGCAAAAATGTTCAGCATAATGAGCTCTACCAATTGTCCATATACGTCAAAACTGTAAGACAAATTCTTATAGGAGTTATTGCCCATAAATGACAAATTTTACCATTTTTTTTTCATTTTTGCCTATTATCTTGAAAACTATGATATTTAGAGAGAAACATTTTTTTTCTGTTATGCCTTATATGATTTAAATTATAATAGATAAATAAACACTTTAAATCACAAAAATGATCAGCAAGGCAAGATCTATTAAAATGTCAAATTTCGCCGATATTGTTAGTAGATCTAGACTGTCACTATTCATAGGAGTGATTGCCCTTAATTGAGGATTTTTTTACCCTCTTTTGTGTTTTGAGCAAAAACTAAAGAAGATAGAGAGAAACTAAATAGACTGAAAGATTAGTAGTACAAGATCAACAAAATAGAGATTTTTGTCATGAAGTCTATTCTTGTCTACAATGTTGGAGAGTGTCTGTCCTTTGTTTGATATGCACATAGACCAAGGTGAGCTACACAGGCTCTTTAGAGCCTCTAATTTCTGGATCTCTGAAATGATTTATAAGATATTTATTAGAAGAAGAAAAATATTAACTTGGAGATTAATTCTTGTTAGGAGATTTTTGCAAATTTGTGGCTTTTGAATAGTGCAAATTGGCTGAAAATATCATTTTCAGCACTTTTTCTGTAATGCAATGATTCATTTGATTAGCTGTTTGGTATGCATTCATATCTTAAGAATCTATAATTAGTTAAAGTTTAAATTGATTGATTATTGCAGAAGTTATGGCCATACACCATTTTTTTTTTACTCTTCATGCACAATATTCTAAAGAAAATTACCTGAAATATCAGTTTTTCACGTCTCTCCCAACAAAATGCTTCTCCCATTTACAGTGATTTTGCCAGTGCCTGTCATTTTCGGTATTTACGAAATAATTTTCAAAAAATCAAAAGTATTTCTGATCAATTTCAACACTTCAATTTGTAAAATTAAAAAAATTCAGTGTGCAAAATTTTACCTAGTGACAAGTTAACGACCCCATCATCATTTTTTTCCTATCTTACAAAGGTGACTAAAGCCCTCAAAATCCTGCCTTAAATCCGGGACAAAATGTAAGTATAAACGTGTCCAATGTTACTGCTGGTTGGAATTTGCATGCAATAACCTCAGAATTACTGTCCATGTTCTAACACAATCCCTGAATATTTAGCAAACAATTTCAGTTCTCCATCTAACTGCATTTCCTTTGACATTAGAAAGGAATGTATGATTATGAAAAATAAGCACATAGTTATATCTATATAGATACATATATTTTACAGTTGAAAAATCCATGATGCCATGTAATGATAAAGATCTGGAGAAGGAGAAAGAATTTGATGGACAGAAGCCAGATGTGACTGACATTCAAAGTGTGCAGATGGAAGGAAATGCCAACCAGAATCAGAAATGGCCAGCATTGCAATTAAATCAACCAGATTTAACTGTAGACAGTGGTAATGTTCATATTTTGTATGCTCTTCTGTATTTGTAAAGTTATGGTGTATTTATTCTTGAGATATTCCTTTGCTTATTGTGTGCTTTTTTGCTGTGCATGTACTGATTTTGTGTCATGGATGGATACCCCATATCCTTTGTTTTTCTATTAAATTGTCCTTCAACAATGTTAAACAAACTGTATAGCCACTAGTCAATTGTTTAGATCTGCATTTTGACCTTTAAAATCTAGATGTCTTGGTTTTTGTGATTGGGTTGGTGTCTCATTATCATGTAACTCCCCACATCTTTTTAGTCATATTATTTATTATATCATGCCATTATATTTATCATCTCTTTAGTAATATTAATGTAAACTCACAATAATTAGGTGATTTGTTTGCTATCAACCAACTAATTATTGTGAGCCAGCAATTTATTTATGCGAATTTCTTGAGAAGAAAATTAATTCAAATTTTTATCATTGTGAATATGTCAAACTCACACAAAGTTAGAAAAATTGAGAAAATAAAAAGTAGTAAGGGTACGTAGACAAGAAAGGATTAAAGGCAAAAATAGTATCTCCTTAAAAAGATAACTTAGTTTTCAGTATTCGTGAATTTAATACAGCTTATATGATTTCTTGTTGAAGGTTAATTTTACCACATTTAAGCCATTGTAATTCGATTGAAAATGAAAAATAATAATTGTTCTGTATTTCAGAAACACATGGCCCACCCGAGAGAAGTTTTCCTGAGACAATGCTTGATGACTCTCCAACGACCACATCAACACCTGGTAAGTACAATATATATTGTAAATCTGTATGGCACTATTTGATAGAACAAGTTAATTTTTCGTCTTACCTCAGTTAGAAGATTAAGCCTGCTGTTTCAGGCAGCTTTAGTTGCAACAACAATTCTTTTTGATATGGTCATTTTATGGTAAGCAATAAGATTCAATTTGCAGATGGTTGTATTAGCACTGACAATTCTCATTTTCTTGGAGATTTTTTGGTCTGTCCCGTTTGTCATGGTCCATTGAATTTGAAACTTTTTCATACATGTTGTTAACATGTTACAGTTATGCCATAAAAATTTCAACATTTGCATTGGTTGAGCAACTTTTGTGATAGTTGAAGCCCTTGTCGATTGAAATTTGGTTGAAAATATCTGTTTTCTGCAATTTTAGCTCACCTGGCCCAATGGGCCAAGTGAGCTTTTCTCATCACTTGGCGTCTGTCGTCTGTCGTCCTTGTCCGTTAACTTTTACAAAAATCTTCTCCTCTGAAACTACTTGGCCAAATTTAACCAAACTTGGCCACAATCATTATTGGGATATCTAGTTTTAAAATGTGCCCGATGACCCAGCCCGCCAACCAATATGGCAGACATGGCTAAAAATAGAACATAGGGGTAAAATGCAAGTTTTGTCTATTATTTTTTGAACCGTTCTAAATAGAGAAAATATTAGCAAAAAAATTCAGCATAATGAGCTCTACCCATTGTCCATATACGTCAAAACTGTAAGACAAATTCTTATAGGAGTTATTGCCCATAAATGACAAATTTTACCATATATTTATATGCCCCCGACGAAGCGGAGGGGGCATTAAGTTTTACCCTTGTCCGTCTGTCCGTACGTCCCAAAATTTGTTTCTGTTCTCTAACTTAAGTTTGCCTCAACTAAATGTTTTCAAACTTATACACAATGCTTATTACCACAAAATACAGATAAAGTTTGAATTTTGGTGGAGTCACTTTAACTGTTCTTGCTAAATTTTTCATTTTTTTTCTAAAAATATTGATGTCATTCAAGTAATTTTTAAATTTGGAATTATCTTCCTTTGTCCATGATTATAGTTGAATCAACTACAATCAATGCTTTATACAATACAATGTTTAATTTTGCCTTCTACTGATAAAACACAGATCAAGTTGAATTTGGGTAGTGTCACTTTAACCATTATTGAGATATGCTCCTTTATAAATCGAAAAACTGCAAAATTTTTAGTTTCCGTTCTGTAACTTAAGTTTGCCCCAACCAAACATGAAACCTATACACAATACTTATTACCACAAAACTAAGATCAAGTACAAATTTGGGTAGCGTCACTTTTATTGTTCTTGAGTTATGTCCCTTTATAATGTTGTATGCAAGCTGGGGCATCATCTGTGTCCATGGGGACACATTCTCCATTTATTTTTTTCATTTTTGCCTATTATCTTGAAAACTATGATATTTAGAGAGAAACATTATTTTCCGTTATGCCTTATATGATTTATATTATAATAGATAAATAAACACTTTAAATCACAAACATGATCAGCAAGGCAAGATCTATTAAAAAGTGAAATTTCGCCGATATTGTTTGTAGACTGTCACTCTTGATAGGAGTGATTGCCCTTAATTGAGAATTTTTTTACCCTCTTGTGTGTTTTGAGCAAAAACTAAAGAAGATAGAGAGAAACTAAATAGACTGAAAGATCAGTAGTACAAGATCAACAAAATAGAGATTTTTGTCATGAAGTCTATTCTTGTCTACAATGTTGGAGAGTGTCTTTCCTTTGTTTGATATGCACATAGACCAAGGTGAGCTACACAGGCTCTTTAGAGCCGCTAATTTCTGGAATCTCTGAAATGATTTATAAGATATTTATTAGAAGAAGAAAAATATTAACTTGGAGATTAATTCTTGTTAGGAGATTTTTGCAAATTTGTGGCTTTTGAAAAGTGCAAATTGGCTGGAAATATCATTTTCAGCACTTTTTCTGTAATGCAATGATTCATTTGATTAGCTGTTTGGTATGCATTCATATCTTAAGAATCTATAATTAATTAAAGTTTAAATTGATTGATTATTGCAGAAGTTATGGCCATACACCATTTTTTTTTTACTCTTCATGCACAATATTCTAAAGAAAATTACCTGAAATATCAGTTTTTCACATTTCTCCCAACAAAATGCTTCTCCCATTTACAGTGATTTTGCCAGTGCCTGTCATTTTCGGCATTTACGAAATAATTTTCAAAATATCAAAAGTATTTTTGATCAATTTCATCACTTCAATTTGTAAAAGTAACAAAATTCAGTATGCAAAATTTTACCTAGTGATAAGTTAACGACCCCATCATCATTTTTTATGCCCCCACCATAGCGGTGGGGGCATTAAGTTTTACACTTGTCCGTCTGTATGTATGTCCCAAAATTGTTTTCGGTTCTCTAACTTGAGTTTGCCTCAACCAATTGTTATGAAATTTATACACAATGCTTATTACCACAAAACACAGATCAAGTTTGAATTTTGGTGGGGTCACTTTAACCGTTCTAGAGTTATGCCCCTTTATAAATGGAAAAATTGAAAAATGTTCAGTTTCCGTTCTCTAACTTAAGTTTGCCTCAACCAAATGTTAAGAAACTTATACACAATGCTTATTACCACAAAACACAGATCAAGTTTGAATTTTGGTGGTGTCACTTTAACTTTTCTAGAGTTATGCCCCTATATAAATGGAAAAATTGCAAAATTTTTATTTTCTTCTAAATATCAAGTAATTTTTATACGACCGCAAAAAAATTTTGCGGTCGTATATTGGTATGACGTTGGCGTCTTCGTCGTCGTCGTCCAAAGACACATTGGTTTTCGCACTCTAACTTTAGTTTAAGTGAATGGATCTCTATGAAATTTTACCATAAGGTTCAATACCACAAAAGGAAGGTTGGGATTGATTTTGGGGGTTATGGTACCAACAGTTAAGGAATTAGGGGCCAAAAAGGGGCCAAAAATAACCATTTTTATACGACCGCAAAAATTAAAAAATTTTTGGTCGTATATTGGTATGACGTTGGCGTCGTCGTCCGGCGTCATTGTCCGAAGACACATTGGTTTTCGCACTCTAACTTTAGTTTAAGTGAATGGATCTCCATGAAATTTTACCATAAGGTTCAAGACCACGAAAGGAAGGTTGGGATTGATTTTGGGGGTTATGGTACCAACAGTTAAGGAATTAGGGGCCAAAAAGGGGCCAAAAATAAGCATTTTGTAACTTCCAGACAATAACTTGTGTGTAAGTGTATGGATCTCTCTGACATTGTACCACAAGGTTCCATATCACAAAGGGAAGGCTGTAATTGATTTTGGGGGTAATTGCCTCAAAATGTTAGGAATTAGGGGCCAAAAAAGGGGCAAAAAACAAGCATTTTTCTAGTTTCATGACAATAACTTGTGTGTAAGTGTTTGGATATTTCTGAAATTGTACTACAAGGTTCCATATCACAAAGGGAAAGCTGGAATTGAGTTTGGGGGTAATTGCCCGAAACGTTTAGGAATTGGGGGCCAAAAAGGGGCCAAAAATAAGCATTTTTTCTAGTTTCCAGACAATATTTTGTGTTTAAGTGTATGGATCTCTCTGAAATTGTACTGCAAGGTACCATACCACAAAGGGAAGGCTGGGATTGAGTTTGGGGGTGATGAATCATAAGGGGTTCAAAAAATTTGGGGGGGGGGGGGATTTTTTTTTTTCTTTTTTTTTTCTTTTTTTCCTTTTTTTTTTCTTTTAAAATTTTCCATTTTAAGTTGGTTATTTCTGATTTATATTTAAAAGCAAGTAATAATGATATGGTAGGAGATACACACCAAACAGGATGTGTAAATTATTATATAATAAGTATTGTGCAATAGCAAGAAATTTTCAATTGCACAGTATTGCACAATAGCAAGAAATCTTCAATTGCACAGTATTGCGCAATAGCAAGGAATCTTCAATTGCACAGTATTGCACAATAGCAAGAAATATCCAATAGCACAATATTGCGCAATAGCAAGAAATTGTCAATTGTACAATATTGCGCAATAGCAAGAAATATTCAATTGCACAGTATTGTGCAAAAGAAGATACTTCCTATAAATTGCTTATTTCTTGATCAATTTCAATGGGGTTTTATTCTTGAATTCTTGGGGTTCTTTAATATGCTGAATCTAACCGTGTATTAAGTTTTTGGATTTTGGGTCCTGTTTTTAAATTGGTCCACATTGAGGTCCAAAGGGTCCAAAATTTAACTTTGTTTGATTTCATCAAAAATTTAATTATTGGGGTTCTTTGATATGCCGAATCTAACCTTGTATTTAGATTCTTAATTTTTGGTTCAGTTTTCAAATTGGTCTACATTAAGGTCCAAAGGGTCCAAAATTAAACTTAGTTTGATTTTAACAAAAATTGAATTTTTAGGGTTGTTTGATATGCTGAATCTAAACATGTATTTAGATTTTTTATTATGGGCCCAGTTTTCAAGTTGGTCCAAATCGGGGTCCAAAATTAAACTTTGTTTGATTTCAACAAAAATTGAATATATGGGGTTCTTTGATATGCTGAATCTAACCATGTATTTAGATTTTTGATTTTTGGGCCTCGTAATCAACTTTGTCCACATTGAGGTCAAAAGGGTCCAAAATTAAACTTTGTTTTGATTTCATCAAAAATTGAATTCTTGGGGTTCTTTGATATGCTGAATCTAACCATGTATTTAGATTTTGGATATTGGACCATAACAGGTGAATGTCCAATTTAAAATTTTTAAGTTCTTAGACCACATTCATTCTGTGTCAGAAACCTATGCTGTGTCAAATATTTAATCACAATCCAAATTCAGAGCTGTATCAAGCTTGAATGTTGTGTCCATACTTGCCCCAACTGTTCAGGGTTCGACCTCTGCGGTCGTATCAAGCTGCGCCCTGCGGAGCATTTTATTGTAACTTCCAGACATAACTTGTGTGTAATTGTATGGATCTTTCTGAAATTGTACCACAAGGTTCCATATCACAAAGGGAAAGCTGGAAATGAGTTTGGGGGTAATTGCCCAAAACGTTTAGGAATTAGGGGCCAAAAAAGGGCCAAAAATAAGCATTTTTCTAGTTTACAGACAATAACTTGTGTTTAAGTGTATGGATCTCTCTGAAATTGTACTGCAAGGTACCATACCACAAAGGGAAGACTGGGATTGATTTTGGGGGTAATTGCCTCAAAATTTTAGGAATTAGGGGCCAAAAAGGGGCAAAAAACAAGTATTTTTCTAGTTTCATGACAATAACTTGTGTGTAAGTGTATGGATCTTTATGAAGTTGTACTACAAGGTTCCATATCACAAAGGAAAGCTGGGTTTGAGTTAGGGGGTAATTGCCCTAAACGTTTAGGAGTTTAGGGCCAAAAAGGGGCCTAAAACAAGCATTTTTCTAGTTTCCAGACAATAACTTGTGTTCAAGTGTATGGATCTCTCTGAAATTGTACTGCAAGGTACCATACCACAAAAGGAAGGTTGGGATTGAGTTTGGGGGTGATTAATCATAAGGGGTTCAAAATATTTGGGTGAGGGATTTTTTTTTCCCTTTTTTTCCTTTTTTTTTCTTTAAAATTTTCCATTTTAAATTGTTTATTTCTGATTTATATATAAAAGCAAATAATAATGATATGGTTTGAATAGGTAAATTAAAATTTTTTAAGTTCTTAGACCACATTCATTCTGTGTCAGAAACCTATATATATGCTGTGTCAAATATTTAATCACAATCCAAATTCAGTGCTGATTAAGCTTGAATGTTGTGTCCATACTTGCCCCAACTGTTCAGGGTTCGACCTCTGTGGTCGTATCAAGCTGCCCCCAGCGGAGCATTTTATTAAAATTGGAGTTATTTTCCTTTGTCCATGATTATAGTTGAATCAACTACAATCAATGCTTTATACAATGCAATGTTTAATTTTTACTTCCACTGATAAAACACAGATCAAGTTGAATTTGGGTAGTGTCACTTTAACCATTATTGAGTTATGCCCCTTTATAAATCGAAAGATTGCAAAATTTTTAGTTTCCATTCTGTAACTTAAGTTTGCCCCAACCAAACATTATGAAACCTATACACAATATTCATTACCACAAAACTAAGATCAAGTACAAATTTTTTGTTTCCGTTTTCTAACTTTAGTTTGCCTCAACCAAATGTTATGAAACTTATACAAAATGCTTATGACTACATAATACAGATTAAGTACAAAATTTGGTGGCGACACTTTTACCATTCTTGAGTTATGTCCCTTTATAAACATAAAAATTGCTGAATTTTTCGTTTCCATTCTCTAAGTTTAGTTTGTCTCAACCAAATGTTATAAAACATATACACAACCGTTCTAGAGTTATGCATGTTAACAAATAGAAAAATTGCTGAATTTTTATACGACGGCAAAATCATATATTGGTATGACGTTGGCGTCGTCTTCGTCGTCCGAAGACACATTGGTTTTCGCACTTTAACTTTATTTTAAGTGAATGGATCTCTATGAAATTTTACCATAAGGTTCAATACCACAAAAGGAAGGTTGGGATTGATTTTGGGGGTTATGGTACCAACAGTTAAGGAATTAGGGGCCAAAAATAAGCATTTTTGAAACTTCCAGACATAACTTGTGTGTTAGTGTATGGATCTCTATGACATTGTACCACAAGGTTCCATATCACAAAGGGAATGCTGGGATTGATTTTTGGGGCTAATTGCCTCAATTTTAGGAATTAGGGGGCACAAAACAAGTATTTTTCTAGTTTCATGACAATAACTTGTGTGTAAGTGTATGGATCTTTCTGAAATTGTACTACAAGGTTCCATATCACAAAGGGAAAGCTGGAATCAAGTTTGGGGGTAATTGCCCAAAACTTTTCGGAATAAGGGGCCAAAAATAAACATTTTTCTTGTTTCCAGACTATAACTTGTGTTCTAGTGTATGGATAATGGATCTCTCTGAAATTGTACTGACCATACCACAAAGGGAAGGCTGGGATTGATTTTGGGGGTAATTGCCTCAAAGTTTTAGGAATTAGGGGCCAAAAAGGGGCAAAAAACAAGCATTTTTCTAGTTTCATGACAATAACTTGTGTGTAAGTGTATGGATCATTATGAAATTGTACTACAAGGTTCCATATGGGTCAATATCCCTAATGCGCCTCAAAATTAGGAACTCAAAAGTTTTGTGTAAACAAAAAAACTCTGTGTAGTGATATTTGACACGTTTCTATGAGAAACAAGTGACTGAGCTTAACCATTTGTGTTGATTTAGAAAGTAGGGGAACATAGAATAAATGTGTAAAAACTATAGAGCTATTAAATGTGTTCAAAGTATTAAATTTTCAAAGAACTAATTGTGTTAAAAAAGGGATTTTTTACCACGAGGAGCCGCAGCACGAAAGGATTCTCAGGGTTTGCTAATTTACGGAAAAAGTAAACTCACTTCGTACCCCGAAAAATTTAACCACATATGTGAAAATGTCTCGAGACGAGCCATCATACATATCCAAGTTAACGATATGGACTGAGCAACAGAAGAAAACGTTACCATTATCGCCTATGGAGAAACAATTGCGAACATTAAACCATCTTACAACAAGATATTCAGCAGCTCTCAGACTGATTTATGAATGATTGCACCTTGTACACCAGAGAAAATTGTGAAAATGAAGGTTAGTTTTATATATACCTAGTTATCACAGCTGGGTTCTAGATAAACATTATCTATAAAGATCAGCCACTTTTTTCACTTTTGAAATGCATTACTGGCACGGGGCTGAACACTTCTTTTAGGCACAATCAAATCTCTGTTTTCCCAAGAGATCCGAAAGGCACTTGTTATGACTGGAAAAAGGCATGAACATTTAATATTGTTAAATTGTAAGTAAACATGACACAATAAAGTCTTTGTTTTGTAATTATCATTCTAGTCTACAGGAATTACTGATAATATAGGAAAATAACAAACTTCATACAAGTAAAATTAGATACATCAGTCATCATTACATTTTGTACATGTGCGTTAAACCAATAATTTGACCCCTGGTCATTATAAATTATATGCGAATAAACAGACAAACACATCTTAAGAAAATCATGAACTATTCTATTTTAATGCACACTAGCTAATCACAAGATATTGTCTTTTTCTCAGTGAAAAAGGGGGAGGGTCAAACCTTTTGAAAACACAGTGCTGCACCTATTCAACTATTATGATTAAGATACTACTCATCGCTCCTCATAGAAAAGGTTAAAATGAAGGTTAATAAGCCACAAGGGAGAAGCATCTCTCTTTTTTTTGTGATAAAACTTTCAAGAATTAGATTTTTTCTCTCTCAATAATACTTATGTATTTATATCAAATGATAACACAGCCTGAGTAAATTTTTTGTCTTATTTCAGTTTCAGACATATGATTACTATTTAATCTGCGACGGCAAACAAGAGGTTTTAAAAAGTTCTGAATAACTGGTAAGCATTTTATTTTATTAGGCAAGCTCTAAATTATTTATTTATAGAATTATGCAGTTGAAATTACAGTCAGTATGTTGAAAATATGCTGATATGAAAACTGTTACTATGGTCTTGATATTATATAAAAATGCTTAGTTACTGATCTTTTCGACTCAATATTTCGAGTTAAACCTTGAGGCAACTGTTCCTCATGTATCACTGCAAACTGTAATTAGCATTATTTTGATCGGCTGTTATTTAATGATGTCATAATACGTGTGATGTCACAATATTTCCTTTGAAACCTCATGTGCATTTCTCACTGATAAAGGGTTTTCACTGAAATACATCTAAAAAACTTTTTTTTTTAAATAGAATTATGTGAAAGGACAAGTTTTGAAAATTTGTACTTCATTGCACTCTAATTATATGATAAAAATGACATTCACAGTAGTTTAGAGTGGATAATATAGTTGAAAATAACAGATTTCCACTGGTAAAAATATTTAAGTATTTTGGTGTCTTTTTAATGAAATCTACATTTTTACATAATTTCTCAGTCAAAATGCACTTTTAGGCACCAGAAAATTTTATTGAATGTTTTCACTAGGTCTGTGTATTGTAATTTAAGGTAATCATCAGATGTTTTGTCAATATTATGATTAGTGAAGGTATATTGGAAAAAAATAATTATACATACACATTGTATTAAAAATAAATAAATAAAGCGATTAAAGGATCATTGCCTTATAGTGCTAAAACAACTTTATTTTTTTTCAGAAATGGACAAAAATACAAATATTTATTCAGAAAGTCATACCAATGAAGATCACACAAGAATATTTGGAAAAATCAGAACTATGGATTCCAATATGGGTCAATATCCCTAATGTGCCTCAAAATGAGGAACTCAAAAGTTTTGTGTAAACCAAAAATCTCTGTGTAGTGATATTTGACACGTTTCTATGATAAACAAGTGACTGAGCTTAACCATTTGTGTTGATTTAGAAAGTAGGGGAACATAGAATAAATGTGTAAAAACTATGGAGCTATTAAATGTGTTCAAAGTATTAAATTTTCAAAGAACTTATTGTGTTAAAAAAGGGATTTTTTACCACGAGGAGCCGCATCACGAAAGGATTCTCAGGGTTTCCTAATTTAAGGAAAAAGTAAACTCACTTCGTACCCCGAAAAATTTAACCACATATGTGAAAATGTCTCAGCTTCGAGACAAGCCATCATACATATCCAAGTTAACGATATGGACTGAGCAACAGAAGAAAACGTTACCATTACCGCCTATGGAGAAACAAATGCCAACATTGACCCATATCACAAAGGGAAAGCTGGAATCGAGTTTGGGGGTAATTGCGCTAAACGTTTAGGAATTTGGGGCCAAAAAGGGGCCTAAAAACAAGCATTTTTCTAGTTTCCAGACAAAAACTTGTGTTAAAGTGTATGGATCTCTCTGAAATTGTACTGCAAGGTACCATACCACAAAGGGAAGGCTGGGATTGAGTTTGGGGGTGATGAATCATAAGGGGGTTCAAAAAATTTGGGGGAGGGATTTTTTTTCCTTTTTTTCCTTTTTTTTTTTTTTAAATTTTCCATTTTAAATTGTTTATTTCTGATTTATATATACAAACAAATAATAATGATATGGTTTGAATAGGTAAATTAAATTTTTTTAAGTTCTTTGACCACATTCATTCTGTGTCAGAAACCTATGCTGTGTCAAATATTTTAATCACAATCCAAATTCAGTGCTGTATCAAGCTTGAATGTTGTGTCCATGCTTGCCCCAACTGTTCAGGGTTCGACCTCTGCGGTCGTATCAAGCTGCGCCCTGCAGAGCATTTTATGAGTTTCTGTTCTCTACTTAAGTTAGCCTCAACCAAATTTTATGAGACTTACACACAATGCTTTTTACCACACAACTCAGATCAAGTTCAAATTTGGGTAGCGTCACTTTTACAGTTCTTCAGTTATGTCCCTTTATAACTATATGATATGCAAGCGGGGGCATCATCTGTGTCCACATGTGGACACTATCCACATTTATTTCCTATCTTACAAAGGTGACAAAAGGCCTCAAAATCCTACCTTTAATCCGGGACAAAATTAAGTATAAACGTGTCCAATGTTACTGCTGGTAGGAATTTGCATGCAATAATCTCAGAATTACTGTCCATGTTCCAACACAATCCCTGAATATTTAGCAAACAATTTCAGTTCTCCATCTAACTGCATTTCCTTTGACATTAGAAAGGAATGTATGATTATGAAAAATAAGCACATAGTTATATCTATACAGATACATATATTTTACAGTTGAAAAATCCATGATGCCATGTAATGATAAAGATCTTGAGAAGGAGAAAGAATTTGATGGACAGAAGCCAGATGTGACTGACATTCAAAGTGTGCAGATGGAAGGAAATGCCAACCAGAATCAGAAATGGCCAGCGTTGCAATTAAATCAACCAGATTTAACTGTAGACAGTGGTAATGTTCATATTTCGTATGCTCTCCTGTATTTGTAAAGTTATGGTGTATTTATTCTTGAGATATTCCTTTGCTTATTGTGTGCTTTTTTGCTGTGCATGTACTGATTTTGTGTCATGGATGGATACCCCATATACTTTGTTTTTCTATTAAATTGTCCTTCAACAATGTTAAACAAACTGTATAGCCACTAGTCAATTATTTAGATCTGCATTTTGACCTTTAAAATCTAGATGTCTTGGTTTTTATACGACCGCAAAATTTTACCTAGTGATAAGTTAACGACCCCATCATCATTTTTTATGCCCCCACCATAGCGGTGGGGGCATTAAGTTTTACACTTGTCCGTCTGTATGTACGTCCCAAAATTGTTTTCCGTTCTCTAACTTGAGTTTGCCTCAACCAATTGTTATGAAATTTATACACAATGCTTATTACCACAAAACACAGATCAAGTTTGAATTTTGGTGGGGTCACTTTAACCGTTCTAGAGTTATGCCCCTTTATAAATGGAAAAATTGAAAAATGTTCAGTTTCCGTTCTCTAACTTAAGTTTGCCTCAACCAAATGTTAAGAAACTTATACACAATGCTTATTACCACAAAACACAGATCAAGTTTGAATTTTGGTGGTGTCACTTTAACTTTTCTAGAGTTATGCCCCTTTATAAATGGAAAAATTGCAAAATTTTTATTTTCTTCTAAATATCAAGAAATTTTTATACGACCGCAAAAATATTTTGCGGTCGTATATTGGTATGACGTTGGCGTCTTCGTCGTCTTCGTCCGAAGACACATTGGTTTTCGCACTCTTGCTTTAGTTTAAGTGAATGGATCTCTATGAAATTTTACCATAAGGTTCAATACCACAAAAGGAAGGTGGGGATTGATTTTGGGGGTTATGGTACCAACAGTTAAGGAATTAGGGGCCAAAAAGGGGCCAAAAATAAGCATTTTTGTAACTTCCAGACATAATTTGTGTGTTAGTGTATGGATATCTCTGACATTGTACCACAAGGTTCCATATCACAAAGGGAATGCTATGATTGATTTTGGGGGTAATTGCCTCCAAATTTTAGGAATTATTGGGCCAAAATGGGGTAAAAAACAAGCATTTTTCTAGTTTCATGACAATAACTTGTGTGTAAGTGTATGGATCTCTCTGACATTGTACCACAAGGTTCCATATCACAAAGGGAATGCTGGGATAGATTTTGGGGGTAATTGCCTCCAAATTTTAGGAATTAGGGGCCAAAAAGGGGCCAAAAACAAGCATTTTTCTAGTTTCATGACAATAACTTGTGTGTAAGTGTATGGATCTTTATGAAATTATACTACAAGGTTCCATATCACAAAGGAAAAGCTGGAATTGAGTTTGGGGGTAATTGCCCAAAACTTTAGGAATAAGGGGCCAAAAAGGGGCCAAAAATAAGCATTTTTCTAGTTTCCAGACAATAACTTGTGTTCAAGTGTATGGATCTCTCTGAAATTGTACTGCAAGGTACCATACTACAAAGGGAAGGCTGGGATTGATTTTGGGGGTAATTGCCTCAACATTTTAGGAATTAGGGGCCATAAAGGGGCAAAAGAACAAGTATTTTTCTAGTTTCATGACAATAACTTGTGTGTAAGTGTATGGATCTTAATGAAATTGTACTACAAGGTTCCATATCACAAAGGGAAAGCTGGGTTTGAGTTTGGGGGTAGTTGCCCTAAATGTTTAGGAATTTGGGGCCAAAAAAGGGCCAAAAAACAGGCATTTTTCTAGTTTCCAGACAATAACTTGTGTTCAAGTGTATGGATCTCTCTGAAATTGTACTGCAAGGTACCATACCTCAAAGGGAAGGCTAGAATTGAGTTTTGGGGTGATGAATCATAAGGGGGTTCAAAAAATTTAGGGGGGGGGGATTTTTTTTTCCTTTTTTTCTTTAAAATTTTCCATTTTAAATTGGTTATTTCTGATTTATATATAAAAGCAAATAATAATGATATGGTTTGAATAGGTAAATTAAAAATTTTAAGTTCTTAGACCACATTCATTCTGTGTCAGAAACCTATGCTGTGTCAAATATTTAATTACAATCCAAATTCAGTGCTGTATCAAGCTTGAATGTTGTGCCCAACTGTTCAGGGTTCGACCTCTGCGGTCGTATCAAGCTGCGCCCAGCGGAGCATTTTATTAGAAGTTACTATTTTAATAATTTTAAAAATGCTGATTATGGTAAATTAATTTTAGCTATGATCATGTATGTCATTTTCTATTTTAAGACTTTTATGATGTATTTAAATGGGTTATTATGGTTGCAAACTCCTTGGAAATTTGAATTGAAATTATAACCAAGCCTGAGGGAAAGAATTTTTTTTTGGAAAAAGAGGGGGGAGGTAATAAAAAAATTGGAAGGGGGGGGGGGGGGACAATTTTTTCTCTTCAAGATTTCAGAAATCAAAAAGAAAATCCTCCAAATTTTTTTTTTTTGAAAAAAGGGGGGGGAGGTCAATTTGCAACAGCATAGTGTATTGCACAAATGCAAAAAATTGAATATAAATTCAAATGATATAACCAATTCTAAGTTCTTTGACTACAGTTAATCTGTGTCAGAAACCTATTATGTGTCAAATATTGAATTACAATCCAAATTCAGACCTGTATCAAGCGCGAATATTGTGTCCATTTTTGCCCCAACTGTTCAGGGTTGGACCTCTGCGGTTGTATCCAGCTGCGATCGACGAAGCAATTTATTATATCATGCCATTATATTTTTCATCTCTTTAATAATATTAATGTAAAACTCACAATAATTAGGTGATATGTTTGCTATCAACCAACTAATTTTTGAGAGCGAGCAATTTATTTATGCCAATTTCTTGAGAAGAAAATTAGTTCAAATTTTTATCATTGTGAATGTCAAACTCACACAAAGTTAGAAAATTGAGAAAATTAAAAGTAGTAAGGGTACGTAGACAAGAAAGGATTAAAGGCAAAAATAGTATCTCCTTAAAAAGATAACTTAGTTTTCAGTATTCGTGAATTAAATACAGTTTATATGATTTCTTGTTGAAGGTTAATTTTACCACATTTAAGCCATTGTAATTCGATTGAAAATGAAAAATAATAATTGTTCTGTATTTCAGAAACACATGGCCCACCCGAGAGAAGTTTCCCTGAGACAATGCTTGATGACTCTCCAATGACGACATCAACACCTGGTAAGTACAATATATATTGTAAATCTGTATGGCACTGGTTGAGTATAGACTTATTCCAAATCTCAAGCAGTGAAATAACAAAAGATACATAGTTGTGCTTAGTAGTGCTTTCAAAATTGGCTTGAATCTGCTATTTTTCACCGGACTGCTGCTTGAATATTGCTGCATAAGAAAACTAAAAGGTCAGAAACAAAACTAACAGCTGAAGTTATATCAACATTTTATTGAAATTAATGAAAATTATTTATGAGAGGCAAGTAAGTATATCTTCATACCATGTTAAGAAAGAACCATTCAAAATAAATTTGTTAGTATTTTTTGTATTTCATACATGTAACCCTTGCCATTGAAAGGTGTAAGAACTGCTCAGAGTTTGAGCATATAAATAGTAAATTTTTATATGCCCGTCTTTATATATAGACAAAGGTATTATGGTTAACAGTTGTTTGTCCATCCCTCTGTCTTATGTCAATTTGTCTGTCTGTCCATCCGACGTCAACATTTCAGACAATAACTCAAAAAACACTTTCACCAATTTTCATGAAACTTTGGTGAATTGTTTATATCTATTGACGCAAGCTCCCTTTCGATTTTTATAAATTTAAGATTTTACATTTCTTAGTTATGAGATTTTATTCATAAAAAAATTGGGGATTTTCCAGTTTTCTGACTATAACTTAAAAATGCTTTAAGCAATTTTCTTAGCTAGCCAGGTATAAAATACTTTTACTTATTTGATTCAAATTTTTTTTCTTTTTACTAAGGAACTTGACATCCATTGACCTTAGCTTCCGTTAACATTTACATCTTCTCCTCTAAAACTATTGTTCCAATTGGAACTTAACTTTGCTACAATCATCATTTGTGTATCTAGTTAAAAAAATATGCAAAATGATTCAGAAGCACTAGATCTACAAATATGTCAACATGGCTGAAATTGTCAACTCTTTATAAGAGTTGTTTCCCTTTATTGATGATTTCTACCTATTTTTTCATAATGGGCAAAAATTATAGAAGATAGAAACTGAAAACAGTAAAAATTATCACCAGAATAGGATCATTCAAAAAGAAATTTTAGACAAGAACTATATTCTAGTCAACAATGTTGAAAAGTGGCCATTGTTGAAGATGTGCATAGATCTAGGGAGTGACACAGGCTCTTTAGATCCTCTAGTTCACTTTGTACATTTACAATCACCAGAAATATAAAATGACAATACCACATATGTCACTGTCTTCATGATTGAAGCCTGACCAAAAAAATTACCAAAAGAATTTCTTACATTATTTCTGTTGAAAATATGGAATCAAGTGCCCCAGATGTTGGTCAACCTATAAGGCATTTTATTTATGATGTCATTCCTGTGTAAACAAAGAAACAAGATTCTCACTGCATGTTTTAGGTAAGGTTTTTATCATATTAAAGTATTATTGAATCAAAATTATAATTTTTTTCAAAAATTTAGAGAATGTTGATGAGTCCGCATGATTATAATTTTTGTTTTAAAAAAATCTCCAATATATTTGGTGATTTTCCCAGAAACTTATTTTGCACTTTGGTTCCCATCTTATATAAGAATATTATAGAATTGATTTTTGTCCCAAGCGCAACACGTTGCAGGGGACATAGAAATGCCGGGCCTCCGTCCGTCCAGTCTTGTTAGCCCTCTCATGTGTACATTTCTTGCCAGATTTTTATGAAACTTTTATCATAGGTTTATATCAGCAATGTCTTGGACGAGTTCGAAAATCAGTGCCAATCATTTATTTTTAAAAGAGTTTTGCCCCTTGGAAACATTAATTATATGGAAAATTGCATCGTAAGTGCTCTCCTTTACAATTCTTGCCAGATTTTTAGAAACTTATATCATAGGTTTATATTAGCAATGTCTTGGACGAGTTAAAAAATCAGTGCCGAACATTTATTTTTAAAAGAGTTATGCTCCTTAGAAACATTAATTATATGGAAAATTACATTGTTAGCGCTCTCATGTTCATAATTCTTGCCAGATTTTTTATGAAACGTATATCATAGGTTTATATCAGCAATGTCTTGGGCGAGTTTGAAAATCAATGCTGATTGATTATTTTTAAAAAAGTTATGCCCCTTGGAAATATTGATTATATGGAAAATTGCAATGTTAGCGCTCTCATATGTACAATTCTTGCCAGAATATTATGAAACTTATATCATAGGTTTATATCAGCAATGTTTTTGACGAGTTCAAAAATCAGTGCCAATCAATTATTCGTAAAAGAGTTATGCTCCTTGGAAATATTGATTATATGGAAAATTGCATTGTTAGCATTCTCATGTGTACAATTCTTGCCAGATTTTTATGCATTTTATATTATAGGTTTATATAATCACTGTCTCAGACAAATTTGAAAATCAGTGCCGATCAATCATTTTTAAAAGAGTTATGTCCCTTGGAAATATTGATATATGGAAAATTGCATTGTTAGTGCTCTCATATGTACAATTCTTGCCAGAATTGTATGAAACTTATATCATAGGTTTATATCAGCAATGTCTTTGACACTTTTGAAAATAAATGCTGATCAAATATTTTTAACGAGGGATGCCCCTTGGAGAAATTAATCATAACGGAAATCGCATTGCATTTGCTCTGAAGCCTTCATTTCTCTAAGATATTTATAAATTGTTTTAAAGAACAAAAAAAAAGTGGTTTTTTTTAGTTATTGCCCTTGTACCTTGGATAGATAAAATATGTGCAACTCGGGGGACATTGGAACTCTGTTCTTTTATTATATATACAAACAGAAAGAATTCAAAATATTTGTCCTCTGTCACAGGTAGCACTTGCCACATATTACTTGCTGGTAATCAAATATACAAAATTTCTGGAATTTTGTGCTTTTTTATGATGTAATTGACAGAATTTTGCAGTAAATCCAATTCCTCTTAAATATATTTTAGGAAAAATCTTAAGAAAAAATGAAAACCTGAAGGGATATCTGTGTAAATGGGAAAGATAGAAAACTGATAATTTAAAATACTGTAAATTCAGAAATTATTGTGAGGTTTTTATTAATGTGAATAATAAGACCGGGGAGTATCGCAATAATATAAACTTGTATTCTGATATCTGATACAGATATTTGTATACAGATTTGCCAAAATTGCAATAATTAATCTTGCATTTTTGTCCATTCTTACAAAATCCAAATAATAACTGCACACAATAATTTCTGAATTTACAGTATATAAGATTCACTAGTATATTGATTTTTAAATTAATTATACTTCTTATTGCATGTATAGAATTTTCTACTGTTATGAGGACTTTTTCTTCTTATATTTTATCCTAAAACTAGGGATATTTATTTTATCAACATAGCATAGCATAGTGCCATAAATGAATAAACTTTTTCAATGACTGCCAAAAAGAAGTAAAATGTTAAATGTTCTATTAATAAACACTCAGCTCACAATGTGTTTGGATTAAGTTGGTTAGCTATTCGCTTTGTGTGAATAGAAAGACATGTTTACATTCAAACTCTGTTATACAATAGATGTACAATCAATACAATAGTCATGTCACCCTAATCTCACATATCTGCCATAGCTTCAATAATATTAGAAATTGAATACTAAGTTTTTTTCACAACACTGTTTGCTCAATGTCCACTCTCAATTAAACTTATAATAGCCTTTTTGGTGTTGGCTGACTTTTCTTTTTCTGTGATATAAATGAAAGTATTTCATCTAATGTTTATAGGCCACTCTGACAGTAAAAAATTGTACAACATTACCCATATTCACCTTTTTTTATCCACATTTTGATTTGACTGATATCTTTCTATAAAAGAAAACAGCTAAAGTTCATTACTGAGGTAATGCTAATGTTTTGAAGGACCTAGATTTGCAACAGAATGAAATTGTCTTGTAGTTTGAGAAAAATGAATGGCCATGGATCACTGATATATTTGTCAGAAAAGAAGTGGCATTTACAACATGTTTGCCATCAAACCAATTAGATTTGAGATTCTATATTAATTTTAGCCTTGATCTGCTAACCCTTCAAAAACATCTGTTTTTAGAGTATTGTTTTTTCTGTTTGCAGTTTCTTTTTGGCCACAGTATCATACCTGCCAACATTTCAAAATGCCCATAGGGGTTTTGTGTGCAAGATGGTTCTTATAGTCCTACAAAACCTTCAAGGGGCCTTCAAATGTATTTATATGTTTTTTTTTTTGCTTCTTCATACTTTTACAATCCTATAGCCATGGTAAAATTGATTGTTTTGTTTTAAATTGTGGACAAAATTGCTCTTTTAAAATTTCCATTTGGTAGCTTTCATGGGGGAAATCCCCCGCAAATAGTGACAGTTGGCAGGTATGCAGTATTCAATGGTATTATCTTTTTCTTTTAAAGCCCCAGCAGCGGCAGAGGGGGCATTAAGTTTTACCCTGATCTGTCTTTTTTTTTGTCTGAACCTTGTACGTCACAAAATTAGTTTCCGTTCTCTAACTTTAGATTGCCTCAACCAAATCTTATGAAACTTATACACAATAGAAAAGCAAAAGATATGGGGTATCTATCCATGAGACCATAAAAAATAATATGTTTGTTTGCCCTAACCCTACCTACCCAGAAAATAGCTGCCTACTCAAAATCTTTTTTTGTCCTGATGTGAAAAAGTTTTTATGCCCCCACCGTAGCGGAGGGGTCATTAAGTTTTACCCTTGTCCGTCTGTACGTCCGTATGTACGTCCCAAAGTTGGTTTCCGTTCTCTAACTTTAGTTTGCCTCAACCAAATGTTATGAAACTTATACACAATGCTTATTACCACAAAATACAGATCAAGTTTGAATTTTGGGGGTATCACTTTTATTGTTCTAGAGTTATGCCCTTTTACAAATGGAAAAATTGCTGAATTTATCGTTTCCGTCATTAGCTTAAGTTTGCCTTAACCAAATTTTATTAAACTTATACACAATACTTATTACCACAAAACTCAGATTAAGTACAAATTTGGGTAGTGTCACTTTTACCATTCTTCAGTTATGTCCCTTTATAACTTTATATGATATGCCAGCGGGGGCATCATCTGTGTCCCATGGACACATTCCCCATTTTTATGCCCCCGCCATAGCGCTGGGGGCATTAAGTTTTACCCTTGTCCGTCTGTACATACGTATGTTCCAAAATTGGTTTTTGTTCTCTAACTTGAGTTTGCCTCAACCAAATGTTATGAAACTTATACACAATGCTTATTACCACAAAACACAGATCAAGTCTGAATTTTGGTGGGGTCACTTTAACCGTTCTAGAGTTATGCCCCTTTATAAATGGAAAAATTGCAAAATTTTTAGTTTCCGTTCTCTAACTTAAGTTTGCCCCAACAAAATGTTATGAAACTTATACACAATGCTTATTGCCACAAAACACAGATCAAGTTTGAATTTTGGTGGCGTCACTTTAACCGTTCTAGAGTTATGCCCCTTTATAAATGGAAAAATTGCAAAATTTTTATTTTCTTCTCAATATCAAGTAATTTTTAAAATTGGTGTTATCTTCCTTTGTCCATGTTTATAGTTGAATCAACTACAATCAATGCTTTATATGATGCAATGTTTAATTTTGACTTCTACTGATAAAACACAGATCAAGTTGAATTTGAGTAGTGTCACTTTAACCATTATTGAGTTATGCCCCTTTATAAATCGAAAGATTGCAAAATTTTTAGTTTCCATTCTGTAACTTAAGTTTGCCCCAACCAAACATTATGAAACCTATACACAATATTCATTACCACAAAACTAAGATCAAGTACAAATTTTTTGTTTCCGTTTTCTAACTTTAGTTTGCCTCAACCAAATATTATGAAACTTATACACAATACTTATTACTACATAATACAGATTAAGTACGAAATTTGATGGCGACACTTTTACCATTCTTGAGTTATGTCCCTTTATAAACATAAAAATTGCTGAATTTTTCGTTTCCGTTCTCTAACTTAAGTTTGTCTCAACCAAATGTTATAAAACTTATACACAACCGTTCTAGAGTTATGCGTGTTTACAAATAGAAAAATTGCTGAATTTTTCGTTTCTGTTCTCTTCTTAAGTTAGCCTCAACCAAATGTTATGAGACTTACACACAATGCTTATTACCACAAAACTCAGATCAAGTTCAAATTTGGGTAGCGTCACTTTTACCGTTCTTCAGTTATGTCCCTTTATAACTATATGATATGCAAGCAGGGGCATCATCTGTGTCCACATGTGGACACTATCCACATTTTTTTAAAATCAGATAGGCATGAAGACTAACAAAGATCTGACACTTCAATTTCTCTTTGCAGAAAAAAAAAGGAAAATGGCTACCTACCTACCCACTGTCTCTACCTTTGGGTAGGGTTTGGGCAAACCAAAATATTTTTAAGTGTGGCCTGACACAAAATAAGTACATGCATATAGCAAAAAACACACAAAAAGCAAAGGAACAGCGCTTTTATTGCTGTTCTTCATCTCGAAGTCACAATGAGGCCTTCAACACGGAGCAAAAGAACTCTCACCTCACTGCAAGTTTAAGACGGCCTGTATCACCAGCTTGAGGGGAATTCTTTGCAAAAATAATGCTTATTACTACCAAATAAAAAATGAGGTTGCAGTAAGCAGTATTAAAAGTGGAAATCAGGAGAAGAGGGGAGGGAACTGGGCGAAGAGGTGGAGTAAAAAATAAGGATATGCTGGAAAAGGTTCCCATTTTTGTCTAGGAGTAAGGGAGCCCCAGTTTTAAAGTTAGGTTGATTGTATTTCAAGGTACTTTAAATTAGTGAGCAAAATCTTGTCTTGAAGACTTACAAAACATAGAAGGATAAGTAATTGGTTTCAGCCATATAACTTGAAAACAAGACAAAGCCTAGAATTTTATCTAGTATTTACAGACCTGGAAATATCTTTGAAATTTGTGTAAATGGCAAATATCTAGGAAAAACCCTTGAGTTGTTATGTTAAAAAATTTAAGTTATTTCCCTTTTGCTTTGCAAATCTATGTCTGATTAAGAATTTTGAAAACTTTGATACATTGATGCTGGATTTATTTTGCTTATGATTAGTGTTCATTACAGAAGTCTTATGAGTGATTGTAAGATAGGGATATGTAATTACTTTAATGGCTAATAATCTAAATTAACTGATATTGTTCTTGAAAAAAAGACTTGAATGTCCTGGAGAAAACTTGGACAAATCCTGAAAAATTTTGTTGCAAAAAGTGTAGGGTCACCATAGTTATATCAAACATTTTCATTTTGATGTCAATATGTTTTACAGAACTTTTAGTATCTTCTAGACAGCAGGGAAATTTAAAATAAACCTGAAAGACATGTTACAACAACTAACATATGGGTCATTGATTCTATTTATAGATATTGCAAGTTGTAATGTTCATTTCCTTACATCAAGTTATTTTTGTACAGTTTCCTGAAAAGGGGAAATATAGAAGTAGGCTGTAGAAAAAAAAGCCCATGATCAGTTTCATGATTCTAAATTTGAAAATAATCAATTAATTAAAACAGTGTTTATCTGTCATATTTTAGAATAATGTATGCTTGTATTGTGCTATACAATTGTCTAAAAGATCTTTGTATTAATTATTAAATAGCTAATGGAAGACGATTTACATATCAGGGATCTAAAGATTCAACTTCATCTTTAAGTTCTCAGCATTCACTAGGTATGTACTTTGGTGAAGTATTAGAATACTTAGTTTTAAGATTCATGAAAAAAAAACCAATCAGCAGCTCATTAAGTATGATGAATGGTCTTACTGATACAGTTCCATGAGAATCTGGTAGACATTTTTAATTTTGAGTAGATTAGCAAACAAAACAAATATATATATTCATTAACTAGAATTAAAATGTTTCTTGAATTCTTAATATCTTATTACAAAAAAATGTTCTGCAATGAAAACTGTGTTTTCTCCCTGGATTTTTTTTTTTGTCAAAATGGAAACTAGCCATTGAAAGTTCTGCCAGAGGCCATGTGATCTTTACAATTGTTTGGCATTTAAGAAAAATCTTATGTTTTAGAAATTAGAGATTTGATGATTTTAATACAAATTTAAAAAGGTTTTTCGCTGATTTTATGTGCTTTCTATACAAATGTTTCCTATTTTGAAAGAATTAAATCAGTAATATTTTGGATGATAAAAGAGATAAATGCATTATTTTTTCGATTTTCAGTTATAGTTCAACGAGCCAAAGTTGTTTGCAAAATTTAAGCAAAATCTGTGACATAGCCCATTTACTGTAACTTGACCTTAACCCTTTCGTACCGAAATGATCCTTTTGGCACCCTGGAGCGCGAGCCGAAATTATCCTTTTGGCACCACGGAGGTGTGGGCGAAATTATCCTTAAGGATACCTAAAATTCTATTTTTAGAACGACAACTTCAAAAGTAAAAATACTAACTTCTAACTATAGGTTTCGGTTCATAGTGTAAATAAAGTTAAAATAATATAACATAATTTGAGTTTTACAATGATTGAAAGGATATATTGTTCATCAAATGCGAAAACTGAAAATAAAACCTGAAAAAATATCGACTCCATTGGAAAAATGGCGAAACGAAAAACTCCTTGTTGAATCGTTTTTTTCATGAAAATAGTGTAAGTATTCGAAGCAACAACGAATCAAATTAAATTTATAATATAAAGTTACAAACTTCAGGTTATTTTTGCTTTAACTTCAGGATCGTAGTTTTTTTTTTAAATGCTTAAAATGTCGAGCAGGTGCTTGTACGATAGTAAAATTTATCTCGGCGACATCACATTTGCAAACACAAATAAAGCTAATTAAAAATAGTTCTTGTTGGTCATTTTATATATCAACGAATTGATAAAAATCTCGAGAATTTTGGCATAATAATTTAATCCTTAATAACTTTTTTTGTGTGCTAAAAATACAAAAATTCTAACGACCTTAAATTGAACCGGAAATAGACATCGTTATGGAAAATATGTCAACAATCATGGCGGAAAAATATTACACAATTTATGCACTCCGGTAAAAGTTTGTTTTAGCTTATATTTCGTTTACTTAGAAGTAAAAATAAAATTATCAACTAAATAAGACATGTAACCTGACACTGTAGTGGTGTTTTCTGCTATTTTAATCTGTTAATTTAAGTAAAAGAAGTGATGAAAGGTAAGTCTCGTATCACCGTTGGGTCACTTGTTCAGTCAAAAAAGGTTAAAAAAATGTCGTCTGATGAATCTGACGAATTTGAAGGATTTTCTCAAGGTGAAATAGATGAAGCTGAAGCTAGATACCAGCATCAGTTACTTCAGCAGGGTTTAGGTGATGACAGTGATGGCTACATAGAATCTGGTGATTCAGACATTGATATCAATGATGATATCCCTGGACCTGCTGGTGATCCTGGTAATGTCTTTCATAATCATAATGGTTGGCATGAAAACTTTATATATTATGAACGAGGAATGCCTCACCTTTTCACACCTTCTGGAATCTCAGGGCCAACTAGGATCATGCCACAAGACAAGGATCCTATAGATTTCCTCAAGCTTTTCCTGACTGACATGCTTATTGAAAATTTGATTGATGAAACTGACCGCTATGCCCTTAAACACCTTAAGAGCAACACCCAAATCAGAACAAAATGGCCTGGGTAAGACCTTCAGTTGCTGAGATGAATGCTTTTCTTGGACTCTGTTTCCAAATGGGTGTTGATAGGAAACCATCTACCAAAATGTACTGGTCAACTGATCATTTTTTGCATACACCTGTATTTCCGCAAACCACGAGTCGTGACAGGTTCACACAGATAATGAGATACCTCCACTTTTCAAACTCAGAATTAGAACCATTACCAGGTGCTGAAAATTATGACCCCTTGTTTAAAGTCAAACCATTAGTAAATCACTTCAATGCCTGCTTCAACCAGGAGTATAATCCTAAAAGAAATGTCACTATAGACGAGAGTATGATTCCGTTTAAAGGTCGAGTTCAGTTTCGACAATACATGCCAGCAAAGCCACATAAATGGGGAGTGAAGGTGTGGATGCTAGCTGAGTCTCAAAGTAGCTACATACAGTTCGTAGACATATATCCAGGGAGACGTGCAACTCCTCAATAACACCTCGCCAGTAATGTTGTCAAAAGGTGTCTTCAGGGAGCACAACTAGGACATTTGATGAAAATTAAGCCTAATGTATGAAATCAGCTGCATTTAAGTTAAGAAACTAATTTAAAAAAAAAGAAGAAAAATGTAACCAATATCGAAGGTAGAAAGAAGTTCCTTGTCATCAGAGACTACTGTATGTACATTTTTGTATAAAAATTATCAACTGGCAACTTTGCTTAACAAAGTGGACAATGATCCCATCAGTGTCAACATAGTATGTAGATCAATAACACTGACAAGACATTTCAGTGTGTCACTGCATTCACTACTTACAATACAAAAAGAGTAGAAAGAATTTGTGAATTCCATTACTTTTGAATTTGTGCACTTTTCCCGGTATATTTCCTGTGTCACAATGCTTATGTCATTATGTCACAGTAAGAAGTAATTGTTCATTGACATCATTTACAATGATTTCAGACGTAGGGTCAACCAGTGTAATTCATTCATAAAAAACAACTTATAAAAACAATGCGAGATTGCTGTATGAAAAATGGATTAATTTGTTGTATAAACAAAAAAATTAAAATTAACACAAATAAACTATGACTTCCTATATTGATATTAGGGTGTAGTGATTTTTTATCATTAAAGGATACACTTTAATCTAGACCAGTCATTGAAAAAAATGTTCTTCCTTATAAAACATATTTTTCAAATATTGTAAAAAAATTAGAAAAAAGTGACAAAATTAATTAAAAAATATAGTGTTCGTATTATAATTTTAAACTAAAAAAGTAATACTGATGAAATGTATTTCATGAATTATTTAAAAACAGTAAAAAAAATGATTTAATATGATGTAAATATAGTTTTTTCATATCATCTGACTTACCTGAGTGTTTATGGTAACAAATCAGGAAGTGAAACTAAAACTTTTTTTATCACATGGTTCTGAGTAAAAATAGGACAAAACATTACATGGGTGTATAGAAATTGAAAAGATGATATGAAACTGAATAATTTTTTTAAAATAAAAAACGCATGACTAGAAATTGTTTTTGTGGAATTACAAAAAAAGATGGCTACAAGTAAATTTCATTGTTCATTAGGCATACTACTTTATTTTCAAGGCAGTCTGATGCATGGTTTGATTTATCAATGTTGTTTAATTTGCAAAAAAACACGGATTAAAAAGATGGTCATAGTTAATAAAGGTATTTATTACAATTTATACAATGGCTAATTCATATAATGCCTTGCAAGGTAAAGCTTGGTAGCATTTTTTATTAAATGCAAATAAATAAAATTTATTTTACAAAAATATCGAGACTGAGTCATTCATGTTGAGAAATAATATATTTGCACAAATAATTTTGTATGACTATTTGTTGGCTTGGGGAGGGCATGTCCTCTTAAATTTTGTCAAAATGTTCTTGAAATTTACCATTTTTACAAAAGCTCTGATAATTTCATTAATAATTACAATGACAGTCAAAATTAAGCCAGGTAAAATAACTTGTTTACATTTGAATAAAGCCTATATTCTCATCACATGCATCGGTTTAAACAATCATGATTATAGATGATATTATAAAGAGATCAGTCTACTACAGCTAGGGGAAAAGCTAGTTTGAAAGGAACAACTTGTGATAGATCAATGATATTTTGTATGAAGATGCATTACTATCAGTACATATCAGTATGACAACTATTTTGTGGTCCTGCCCCCTAGGCCATGGTCCAGTGACTTTCAATTAATTAACCATTTTGTGTTGCCTGCAACGAAAATTGCAGTATGCGAGACATAGGTGTTACTATCTGGGGTTGGCGGCGGTGGCAGCGTAAACTATTTGTATAAAGCTTTATATTTCAGAAGGTAGAAGACCTGGATGCTTCATACCTTGTATGCAGATACCTTATGTTACGAAGTTTCAGTCTGTCATATGCCCATTGCCCTTGACCTAATTTTCATGGTACAGTGACTGCTTGAAAAAAAATTACAGAGTTTTTTTTTTATGTGAATTTCTCAATTATTATGAGTAATGGGATAACTATATTTGGTATATGGGTTCCTTGAAGGTCTACATGTCCGTCAGACAGGGTTAACCTGACCTCAACCTCAACTCATGGATCAGTGATCAAGGTTAAAGTTACGTGATTAGGTCTGTTTCCTCGGATACTACAAGCAGCAGGTCAACTATATCTGGTGTATGGAATGATTGTAAGGGTACATGTCAGACTGGCAGGTGTCATCTGACCTTGACCTGATTTTCATGGTTCATTGGTCCTTGCTAATTTTTTGTGTTTTGGTCTGTTTTTCAAGTACTGTAAGCAATAGGTCAACTATATTTGGTGTATGGAATGATTGTAAGGTGTACATGTCTGTCTAGCTGGTGTCATCTGACCTTGACCTCATTTTAATGATTCATTGGTCAGTGTTAAGTTTATGTGTTTTGGTCTGTTTTTCGAGTACTATAAGCAATAGGTCAACTATATTTGGTTGATGGAATGATTGTAAGGTGTACATGTCTGTCTAGCCAATGTCAACTGACCTTGACCTCATTTCAATGGTTCATTGGTCA